GTCTCTCACTCCCATTTTTATGATATCCGTAAATGTTATATTATAACATTATTATTATTATTATTATTATTATTATTATTATGTTATTTTTTATTATCCGTGAATGTTAGCAACTGGACAAATTGAATGCAGCGGTCAAGGAAAAGCGATCAGAATTTGTCAATCGTAAAGGTGTCATTTTCCACCAGGACAATGCTAGGCCGCACATGTCTTTGTCCACTCGGCAAAAATTGATGGATATTGATTGGGAATTGATGTTACACCTACCATATAGCCCTGATCTCGCGCCATCGGATTACCACTTATTTCGATCCCTGGACAACTCCCTTCGTGGTAAAACTTTTAATGATGATGACGCTGTAAAATCTCACTTAACTCAGTTTTTGGCCGAAAAGGATCAGACTTTCTACGAGCGTGGAATTTTCAAGTTGTCAGAGAGATGGCAAAAGGTCATCGAACAAAATGGAAAATACATTACAGATTAAACTTCATTACAAGTAAAACAAAATTTTTTATTTCATTGAACAAATCGGCAATTACTTAGTTGTCAACCCAATACAATAGTTTATGTGTAATCGTGTTCTAAAATGAAAGTGTTACAGCCGTCCTCGGTCTCCCGTACGTTGACTAGGGCACTCTACGGGCTTCTTTTCCTTGTCATTGTCTACGTTTATTTGCTACCTATTATCAAGAGAGATTGCCTATTTTATCCGTTTACCAGAAAAACGAGTAGTCGGAGTTTAACACGGTAAAAAGCTTAGAAGGCTTTCGGTGTTTGTGCTTACAAAGCTCGCAATATGAAATAAGTTCGTTTGCAAAAGAATGAATTTGATTTATGCGAAGTTGAATATCATTTTCATAAGGTTTAATTTGGAGTGCAAAGTCTGCATTTGGTACCATTGTGGAAATTATTAAGCAAGTTGTAACTGTAATAATAGACTTTCGGAAATTATAAAATCATCGCCGGTAGATAATGTGTTAAGACAACTGCTAATTAAATGAATGAAATTTGAAAGATATTATAAATACAAACAAAATGACATCTGCAAGGCATTTTTATGTGTACGATTGAAGTACTCTATGAATTGTAATGTGGAAAAGGTATGATAGACGTTGTCTTTTTTTTGTATAATACGAAATATGCTCGTTCACTGGGAGGTGCTTATTCATTGGACAGATTACCCTACATGCCCCTGTCAGCCTGCGGTAGTATTGTATTGCCGAATGACATGACTTTTTTCTGAGTGCGAAGGTTATACAGTTATATTTAACCTTTTTCACTCCAAATTAATCCTTTCGTACATTATTTTTTATCCTTTTATAGATTTTGCGTAGAAAAATCATAAATTCATTTGTAGAAAATAAAATTCACTTACTTGTAATTATTTGCAATCGAATTCATATTAAACTTATAAATCGAAAACATTTTATAGATAATCATTGAAGATCGATGAAGATTAATGCAGAGTAATTGTATATATTTCTATAAATGATATTTCTGTAATAAATTTATAAATTCAGAATAAATTTTTAAGTTAAATAAAATACGGCAATTTTGATCCGTGAAGGGGTTAGTTTTATTTGCGGAAAGTTGAATATGATGTACAAAAGGATTAATTTTTAATGCAAGACCTGTACTTTCAGTTGCCTAAAAGTAATATATCTATGCTCGTTTCTCCCAAAAACGTCATTTTAAAATGATTCATTTCCTGCAACTATTGAAAAAAGCAACAGTCACTCGAAAATTATTTCTTTCTTTAAAAGATTTAATTAATCAAAAAAAAAAGTAATGTATCAAAGTTTTCGTGTTCTGAGTACACCATGTTGAGATAATATTTAGAATTTTGCGTACGTATAGTCCTCATGCAACATGAAAACACCTTTGTGTTTACATTCCTCCACTTACTAGCTACTCCTACTGCCACAACTATCGGTCGCTAGTGGCTGAAAACGGTGGCAAAGATCAATGGCGGTCGCTAACAGTCTATAGTTGCGACAGTGGGACAGCTAGTAAGAGGGGGAATGTAAACACGGAGATACATTCTTGTCGCATGAGGACTATATACATGGTTGGAAATTCTTCGTGGCAATAGGGTGTGACGTTTACATAATTATTCGGCTGTGGGTCTTTATGCGAAATTAACATGTCCTGCATCTGTTGCAAGAACCTGGAGCCATTTGGGAATTTTTGGTGTCTTTGATGATGTTAATTAGTCAAAAGTGATATGTAGACTGCGAATTTTTATGAAAAATAACATTTGTCTTCAATTTGTTTCTTTAATAATTTTAATGACACTAATACAACAATATTTTTTAATTTTTCAAATGTTTTTGTTATTTTGCATTTGGTCTACACTTTTTTTATCGTAAATGCATAAATCCTAGACTATAAATAACGGCAAAAATAGAAACAGTCTAGTATGTTAATTTATTACATAATTCTTTTAATGCATCATTTCGGTTAACTTCCAAAATTTCTGCTGTTTGATTCATCTTGAAACTAGAAATCAGAAATTTTCATCTCCGTAAGTTGAATCGCACGTTTTATACAAGAATCAAGCAAAAACTGTGGTCTCAACAAAATATGAAATATAAATATATTATATTATGTATTATATTAAGCAATTAATATATTATTAACTATTGCATTTACTTTCATAATGCTAGTACGAGAAATAAAGATAAATAAAGTTTGACAAAACTGAGAAATCATAGAAGTCAATTTACAAAATATTATTTCGAGAAAATCCTTTTAAAGTTTCGTAATGTATGACGTTTCTTATAGTATATCACATTGCTCGAAATACTATAACATCATTGTTTAAAATAGAAGTGTACAATTTTTGTAACGCCATCTCTGAGATATTGCACTTTTGCAAAATGCAATAAAAAATCGATGTTTTGCTTCTTCAAAAGAGAATACAAAGGATAAGACGTGCCAAAAAAAGTGGCACGTCTCCCACGTAATTTTATTTGTTACATCGAATAACATTACTGTAGATTTAAGCCTGGTTTACATTAGAAATCATATCATTAAATCTGAAACATATACATATATTAAAGTTTGTACATTTGGTGCATGCAAAGTTAGTCTGACCTCGTTACAGTTTTATTACTAGCTTGCGTGTTTGTGCTACTATTTGAATTTTTTTATTAGCAGAGCCGATTGAAACATTTTAGGTAGTCTTGATTTTTTAATTGGGTCTGCACAATAATTGTTACACATAAAGATTGGCAAATTAAATGATTTAGGTCTTCTTTTCCTCGAGAGACATTCGCATAAAGAGTTGACATTTATATTTATTCTAGCAACAGAAATTGCTACTTAATAATATTGTGACACCGTTTTCGACTTACCGAAACTATTAAAAGAAACAGTTTATTTTTATTCAATTTATATTTCTTACAAACTTGTTGGAAATTTTTTATTTTGCATAAAGATCCGCAGTCTAGTTATTATAAATAGATCAATTGATTATTTACAAAGAATGCGAATAATCTTATTATAACTTACCACAATTTTTCATTTTTAGTACGAGAGTTCACATATTTAATCTTTTATCACGCTGGTATATTGATTTTTCATGAAATTGTGTCAATCCGATGCCAAGGGACAAATTAAATTGGGAAAATGAAGGACGCATTCCATGTCAATGAATTCTCTTGAGATTATTATTTAAGAGAGAATGATTAAGCTTCTTCTGAATATAGCACAGTCATTAAAGAGCCCGTTAATTGGCTTACGGTAGCTGAAGTGCTGAGACTAGGGTTTTTTTCATCCCATTCCACTCAACTTCGAGGGCCTAAGCAAATCAAAATGTTAAATTGCTCCAACTTACACTATTTTTGTAATCTGAATTCACAGTCGCGCAATCTCAGCACTGGAGTGGCTCTTATATTTCGACTTCTGATTTTTGAGGGGATTTTTAACTCTCTAAACTGAGACATTTAGTGACAAATTGATACGTACAAAATTTGTAAGCAATCGGACAATGGAAACTCATTAATATTAGAAACGCAAACTTATTGTTATTATAAAGATACGTTTATGGGAAATTTTGTGAATAGATTTGTTTCGGTCGACATACAGTTAGTAACTTTAAAACATTCGGACATTACAAAATAATTAACAGAAAAATTCATAACAGAAAAAAGAAACATGGTCAGGTATAAGTTCAGATAGAAGAGTTAAAAAACGCAATTTTTTAATTTTGTTTTTGTCATTCGGAAATACCAATTGCAATTGTTGAAAAAAATTTGTAGACATTGTCTAGTAAACTAATTCTTTAAATATCTAAAAAGAGGTTAGATCGCTAATTTAAAAGGTGATTCTTATAGCTTCTGATAGCTTTATTTACTTTCTCTATTACTATAGGTTCAGATAAAAAAGTTAAGAAAAAAGAAGAAATTAGAAAAAAGCATTTTATTCATTATCTAGTAGACTAGTTCCTTTATCATCTAAAAAAAAAATTCAAGTCATTTAGTCCAAATTTAGAAACGTTATAAGTTATATCGTTTTAAAGGATGTGTCCACATATATTTGTCCTCGACGAATACACTCGCAATATACACTCATCTTCTCAGTCAGCTGTGGTTTACGGAAACGATTTATTTGAAAGAGTCTAGAAGAAATCAAGCACTCGTATAATATAGCTGATGCATACTTTTATCATCTCGTCGAAAGCTGGATAAAGCGAGAAACATTAAAGCTATTTTTAAAATTAGATCGTAGGTAAGAGAGATTGCTCGATGCCACTCAACAGAGACAGCAATTACAACTTCCCTTCTCTCCATCCGGAACAAATAAATATTGGACACAAAAATACTGAAAAAGATAAACATTAACATTCGGATCGATATAAATGAAGTATAATTTTTCTTTATTGTATCTATGAATATAAGGACACTTGCAAATAGTGCCGGATGTTTTTATATTGTTATTTATTATAATATTTTATAATTATTTATATTATACTAGCTTGTCATAAATAATCTTATTCCTTATTTTGTATAAATGGTCCCATATTCGATACGCAATCTCTGTTCATAAAGAAACAGATAAAATTGATTTAATCCGATTTTAGTTCTGCACGAAAATATAATTAAAGTTCAATAAGGTTCAAATAATTCAACTTCATTTTTATGTATGACACTTTGCGAGTTCGTATCTGTGAAATTGAATATTGAAGTACGATAACTTAATTAAATAACAGTGTGTACTTCCAACGGACGTCATTAAAATTGATGTTTCATCGATTTACCGCCTCGTTCCAATGTCGATTCGTATCTAGGAGGCAATAGCTATATCAACGCAATAGTAGATACACAATATCCATATTTCATTGCAATTGCTTACAATGATAATGCATAATGTAATAGTATACATGCCCATTTCGTTGACATGGATGTCCTTTTGCATTTTTCACAATGATACAGGTTTTCCATTATGGTCTTTCTGCTTTTTATACCCGTCATGATGCAAGATGACCT